GCGACTTGTTTAAAAATCTTGGACTAAAATCCTTTCTCCTCATCTCCCTCTCTTCATCTTCTCGTTTAATCCTGTTTTTATTGTATAATGCAGAACCTTGCAGAATTTTTTTTTAAATAAATGGCAATCATAATTTTTGCAGTTTAGACGCTAAGAACAAGCACTGATCTGTAAATTTCAGAGATTTGGCAGCTCGTAATTGTCTTGTTGCGGACGAAAATGTTGTAAAAGTTGCTGATTTCGGATTGGCTCGATTTATGCGCGAGGATACGTATACCGCACACGCGGGCGCAAAATTCCCGATCAAATGGACTGCACCGGAAGGCCTCGCATACAATACTTTTAGGTAAAAGTTGCTAAAATAACTATAAATGATATTGAATATGCGCTGTTTTGAGATATTTCGAAATGAATTTTGAGGCAGGATGCAGTGAAGTAGCATTGTTGTCGCGCAGTAAGTCGAAGATTCGACTTTGCCGATAGGACAACCAATCCTTCTGCAATTTGTTATTTGTTTCGGTGGTAAATTGGTTCTGACATGTACCAGGGGGAAGACCAGAACCCGCTCACCATCTCCCGTCAGTCTGCTTGTAAGCGACCCTCTAAAATAGGGAGCCATCGATATCCTTGACAGAGAGTGGTTGGTGTTGGCATCTGCTACTATTCGGGCTACTTTTCGGGTGTCTCCGTCTTTCACTGTGAGCAAATACCAGCGGAGTTTTTTAATCTTCTGGATTTACACCATGGGGCAGCATTGCTTTGTTTGTCAAAGTCAAAACCCCGTGTATGTTTATTGTTTATCAAAGGTGGAATCTGTAACAATGGCAACAGGATCAAAGCTGTCCTTGGCGCGCCATCTTTCCAAAGTTGCTTGCAAGCAAGCTGATGGCGGTGTTTTAGTTGTATTTCCTCAATTGTAATGCATTTCAGCACAAAAAGTGATGTTTGGGCATTTGGGGTGTTGCTCTGGGAAATAGCCACGTATGGTATGAGCCCGTACCCCGGTGTCGAACTGAATAGCGTCTATGGATTGTTGGAAAAAGGCTTCCGAATGGATGCTCCGGAAGGTTGTCCTCCCTCTGTATATCGTTTGATGCTGCAGTGCTGGAATTGGTCACCCAGTGATCGACCACGTTTCAAGGAAATCCATGCGAGCTTGGAATCACTT